CACACTTGACTCTACCACACTTGACTCTACGACACTTGACTCTACGACACTTGACTTTACCACACTTGACTCTACGACACTCTCTTTAGACTCTCTATAGACTCTCTATAGCCGACACTCATGGCCCCAAAACTCATGGCTAATGATGCTTTCGGGCCACTCGTCTTCTAGTTTACTGCGATACTTCTGCAATATGCTACTCCCGATCTTACCGTTCCGAGGCATTGCTGATCAACTTCGTTCGGTGCAGCATCCTAACGAGGATCAATTTCAAGGCCCGCGTGCAAAGTGCCAAGTGGAGTCCAGATGCCCGGTGGCCCCCTCGCCGCATGAAGTGTGGAAGGGCATTGGCTTGCTTGACCGGCTTTGGAGGTAGTCCACATTTCTGTGGGTGAACTGCTTGATTTCGTTTGATAGACCTCCACCCTCCGTCTGCGGATGCCGAAAAAGGAGAGGAAGGAGTAATCAGCACCCAGCGAGTTCTCACATCCATGATCCTCAAATGGAAAATCGCATCTCTCATCCTAGCAGCTTCCAACCGCCACTTTTATTCGATGCTGCAAGTGTATACCTCAGGCTCATCGTAAGCCATGGGCGGAAAATCCAGCTCTGGAGGTGCACCGGGCGTTTTGGGTGCAGAAGGGTTGGTGATGTTAGCGGCTCTAGACGCAGAGTGAGAGGGACAATGAGTGAACCAGCAGTGCGCACCTCCTGACAATGGATCCCTGAATCAAGCGTTTTGCCACTATACGAATTATGGTTTGTCAATGTCCCTGCGTGGTTTCAATGGCCTCGAGGCTTTCAAAACACAACAAAGCACGAAAGCCCTGTATTCAGACCAGGCTCAGCCGCTTTCCAGGCTCAGGGTATGCATGTAAGTCGCATAAGAAGAGGGCTTGCCAGGTTGCAGAAAGGTTTCAGCAAACTAAGCATCGTGCCAGCTTGGGGGTTCTGAGCCAAGGCCTCTCATTACCAAACCTACTATAGGCCAGAACGTGCTTTCTCTGAGGACTCCGACGGTGGAGCTTGGTTGGCAATTTGTGAAAGAGCGTGTCACCGCCGGGCACCACGATGATGTGGTTGACTTGTCCTGGAGCTCCGACTCCAACTTCTTCGCCTCCTGCTCGAAGGACCCTTAGATTTAGATGTTTGGCTTCGCGGTTCGGAAGTCGCGTATGTGGAGCCAACCGGCTTCAGCATAAAGCTCCGGCTCTCTGAGAAAGACCGCTCCAATTGCAATGTGCCCGATTTCCGAGAATTCAAGCCCCAAACCCTAAGCCCTAAGCCCTGAGTTCTCGCCTGAAGAGGACGGGACCGTGCGGCTGTCGGCCGCACGCCGGCAGGAAGGGTTTCAACCCATGGCCCTGCTCGATGCTCCGCTGCCACTACTATAGCGCCTTAAGAATTAGAATAGGGTTTTTGGGGGGTTCCTTTTAAGGGTTCCTTTAAGGGATTCTATAAGGGTTTAGGGTGTAGGGGCCTTAATAATTAGAATAGGGTTTGGGGGCCCATTATACTATATTTATTATAAGGAACCCCCAAAATAGTATAGGTAGTTGTTAGGGCCCTTATATTACCCAGGAAGTCTTTTGAGACAAAGGGTGCAGGTACAGGGTTCAGGACATGTATCTGCGGGTCATGCGTGCTGCACTGCTTCACGGCGACGGCAGTTCCGGGCGAGAGAAGCCTGCTGCAAAGAGGACATGCATTCGGATACTTATGAGCATTCACAAGACAGAAACCACGAATGTCCACTATTGTTAAGATCAAGAACGCAAGGTGTC